AAAAAAAAAAACATATGAAGGGAAAAGGAAGCAAAACATGTTTGCTTGGTCATCCGCCCCCTTTCCCCCCCCCATCCAAAAAAAAAATCACCTTTGCACACATGAACGTCACTAAAAGTCAAAGTTTGACCTCAGGAGGAACAAACAGACAACAATGAGAGCAACAATCGAAGGAATGTGGACTAAAATCCTCATTAAACAATTCCAAAAAAGTTGCAAGTTGTACCTGTGTAGTGCACCACAAGCTGCTGCACGGTGTCAAACTGAGACCTGGTGGTGATGTAATAGCCTCCGTTGTCCAGCTTGCGGATCTTATAGTGCTTCACGTGGTCACCTTTGTTCTCGTCCCAGTCGCGGATGGACAGCGAAAAAGCACCTAGGACGCAAAAAAGACACCATGTCTAATTCAACAGGTTTATTTGTATACAAAATATCAAATGTAATTTTAAAAATATCTAGAATATAGAGACTAAGTCTGTTCACATAAGCTGTATTTTATATGGTTCTTAATTGTGTTTTGTTATATTTGTGATTATTTATTTAGTTTCAGATTAAGACTGAGTTTTATATATACATTCTGCCGTATTTTTATTATTCTTTAACACACGTACAATGCATATCTAGAATAAAAATAGAACGAAAACTACAGTATCAATCCAGTAAAAAAAAAACAAAACTAAATCTAAATCAAAACAGAAATAAAATAATGACAAATTAAAAAAAACACAATAAAAAGTTTAAAGATATGGAACATAAACCGAAATAATATAATGAAATGAACATAGAAAAAAATTAAAATATTTTTTAATAATTACGAGACTTGATCAAAAAAAAAAAATCTAAATCATGTCATATGTCTGAGCAGAGCGACCAACGTGTACCTCAAAATTCTAACTGACTTTATATGATTTTTTTTTCCTCCCTCACCGAAAAGTGGAAAAAAAAACCCCAAACAAACAAACAAACAACCTTGGATAAAACACTTGAACTTGACAATTATTGTTGTGACTTTCATCTTATTTTAGCAGTAACTGCCCTGATAATAATTACACAATGGTTAGCAATCAAAATCAAATCAAATTTTAACCGTTGCATTTATTAATACTGCTGTAGTTTGCACTGAAACACACTCACGGTTGTTCCTC